CAACTGATTCCTATCCCTGTGCAAAGTGCCACCAGTGTTTCCTCCCACCGAAATAATAATAATAATAATAATAATAATAATAATAATAATAATAATAATAATAATGTGCACAATAAATGTAATGCGCTTGAATCATCCTGAAACCATCACACACACCCCGGGCCATGGAAAAATTGTCTTCCACGAAACTGGTCCCTGGTGCCAAAAAGGTTGGGGACCACTGCACTAGATGACAACATTTAAAGGAAGGGATCTGAAGCCCACCCACTCTGTCTGACCTTATGGGTCAGGGAGAGGCAATCCTGCAAACAACCTGGTCCCATGCCATTTAGAGCTTTAAAGGTGATAACCAGCTCCTTGAATTACACCCAGAAAAAAACTGGAAACCAGTGCAGCTTGCATAGCAGCAGTCTAATATAGGCAATCCATGGAGCACCCAGAACTGCACGCATTGCTGCATTCTGGACCAGTTGTAATTTCTGGATGGTCTTCAAGGGCAGCCCCATGTCAAGCAAGTTGCAATAATCCAACTAGGAATGCCACTGAATCACAGCTGCATGAAATTCATGTATCCTATAGATATAAATTAAGTTTGAATTAACAAATAACATCAGCTTTTTTTGCTTGCTACATTTATTTCATAAACAAAGTCATCCAACAGAGAATTTGGGGGAGAAGGGAAGAGTTATTAGGGGACTGTGATATGGCAGAAACAAAGAGGGGATTCACAGGAATCATTTAAGACACAAAACTGAACTGTGAATGTGGCCACTGAGAGAGTTTGAGCTATGTGTCCTTGTTTACTATATCATTTGCAATGTCTAAACAAGATAAGTAATGTAATTCAGGACAGAGCTCCACAGGGGACTGTGGCTGCAGGGATAAACCAGCTTCCTGCAAGCTCCATATTTACTGCTGCCACTCAGGCACTCTGGGCATGGAACAAACAAAAATGAGACAGATCCTTTAAATACATGTTTTGTTTGTTGTGGTGGGCAAGCAGGAAAGGTCGAAGAGATCAATCTTCAAGAAAGCAAAAGCAGTGATAGAGAAGATCCTTCCAAAATGTTTGTTCTACTCAGCTTCAAAGCATAGATGTACTTTTTGGCAGAAGCGTCCATGTAACACTGAACTAGAAGAGAGAGTTCAAAGGCTCAGCACTCATTGCAATGGAAATCTCAACCAGAACAGCTACCAAAGGCCACTTCCTCACAGCCTTTTGCTTCTACAGCCACATGACGGAGAAATAACAAATGGTAAGGGGCAGCAGAATGAATCAGGAAATGTCTTAATTCAAATACATTACCTATGGATAATTCCCTTTCCATGCAAGTACTCTAATGCAGCCACAATTTCAGCAGTATAAAACCTAGTACATGTCTCATCAAATGAACCAATCTTTCGGATGTATTTTAAAAGCTCTCCATTTTTAGCATAACTGAGGCCAAAATCTGAATGCCAAGTTAAGAATTATTTCTACTGGATGATCTAGACAGACAACGCAAATACGTGTTGGGAGACAACACTAAAGAGAAAGCCATGTGATTGAAAAAAAGACAGCACAGAAACCACAACTGGTATAGAGAAAGGATTTTTACTGGTTGGCTTATGGACAGATTAATTAATAGTGGCTGGAAGCCAAAATGGGTATGTTGATAATACAAAATGGACAAGGCCACTACTTTAAGGCACTGTCTGGGGGAGGCAGACTTTAAACTTTAACATAGTTTTAAAACTATGTTAATTAGAGCCAATATTTTAATTTTTTTAACATTTCCCATTGAGGAAACTGTGCCATCAATTTTCTGCAGCTCAGTCAGAGATGGCTCTGAAATGCCCACTCTGGCCTTAAAACCACCCAGAAGTTTATGAGATTTAGTATTCGGCACACATATTCAGAATTCCAGATCAATTTTCACCATAGTTGCAAAAACACACTGTTCCACTTTTGCCCACAATTTTGACTGCCAAGTCAAACATCAGAAAGGATACAGAGCTTTTCTTCATCCTGAAATGTGAAGTAGAGCTTCACAAAGAAAGGGTGATCTAGGCGGGACATCACATCTCTCTCCCTGGTCACGTAGGGGACCTTGTTCTCTTTTATGATGTGACGCTTCTCTAGAATTTTAACTTTTAAACAGAAAACAAGTTACCACACATTTGGACCTACATCAATGAAACCAACACCCCTGCTTGGCCAGGTGCAAGAGTCATCCCTTACAGAATATCAGGTGTGAACTTAAAGGATCATCAACAAACCACATCCAAAGAAGAAAGTGGTACTCACTGGCATATTCTCGGGAGTTGGTCAATTCTCTGGCCAAGACAACCTGTTTTTTAAGGGAAAGAGAAATCTGGTTACATTCTGAGCATGTGGCAAGGATTAACATGCAAGAATATGGAATATTCTCTCCATTCTTGTGGCGCCACATGTTGTACACCTATCTGGAGGCCTGTCTTAATCAGGGCCAGTACAGCCGATGATGGTGTTAAGCACACCAAAGCCTTGTTTAAGTTTGTTTGGTGAGATTTAGCATCTAGAGGGCATCAGCCGTGCAAGCCAGGATAAGTATACAAGCAGATGCACCATGCTTACAAAAATGAGGATGTAAAAATACAAAGCTAATTCAGCCAGTTGCTATCCATTTGTGAATCCCACCTAGACTGCTCAGCCAGCCTCACAGAGCGCTTCTCAGAGTGCTTAGTATGCTCAGAGAAGACAGGATCCAAAATCTTATGGAGATTCATAGAAATCAGGACCCTGAAGAAATGTGCAATGTTTGTGAAGGAAAACTAAGAATGGGAAGTAAGGGAGTAAACCAAAACCTGTCTAAGGAAAACATGCTGAAGATCAGGGATTCAATGACATAAGGAGACATGTCACCAACTGCAAAGGCCACAAGAGAAGCAGCAGCAGCAGACCTGATCTAGTCTCCTGCAAATAAAAGTCTAATGACCAGCATTGCTGGTACAAAGACAAGCACCTGCTGCAGATACTCACTGTGGAAAAAGATCCTTCCCCAAGAATCTTCCCAAACTTAAAGTCCTCAGGGCGTTTCTTTCGAGGCTGTGGAGCTTGTTGCAAGGTGCTCTCCATATTCAGTTCCTGTCTGCTGCCACAGGCAGCAGCAACAGGTTGAAGGCTGGAATCCACCTGGTTCCTCACCATTGATGGAGATGAGCAGGAACATAAAACCACACTGGACTGGATAGGAACAGCATCATACTGCAGAGAAGAAAGTACACACCATGTTGTGGGCCTCAACGTTTACAAGATAAAAACTGCCAAATCACAAAGCACTGTCTGTAAGAAACTATTTGCATGCATCCTACCTTGCAGGCACTGGCTGCCATTTCACAGAGCAGAAAACATACAAATAGCAGCTTACATGGCCTGAATGTCAACCGTTCAAGTCAGAAGTCATCTTAGAGCAGCCTATCTAGTTTTAGAACTTAGGCCACTGAGACTTGCAACAAAATGTTGCAGGGCATCCTCCTCCTCCTCCTGTTTAGGGTTCAAGCAGGGCACCTGATGTTTTCCCTCTTCATTCCATTCGTTGATCCTCTGCCAACTGAAACTCCACTTTCCTTGGGTACTGAGCAGGCTTGGTCCTCTGTGTTGATCAGACAGTTTGTCTACCTTTCTGTGAAACTCAGGGCTTGGCTTTTCAGCAGTCATATTTGGGTTCCAACCCTGTCTATGCTGAGCTTCTAATTTCCTATTAAAAGGAGTGATCGGCAAAATAATTTCCCAACATCACCAACAGCTCAGAATACTGGGCAGAACTGCAAGAGGCTTCTGAGACATGGAGCCTGCAAACTCAAATAGCAGCAGCAGGAAAGGCACAAAAGACTGCCAGCCCTGACGGGCAGGATTAAACACCATTCAGCATGCAAGTCAGAGAACATGGGAAACATTCATGCTATTTTAAGCCCAGCTGCCAGATGTGCCCTTGAACACTTCCATTTTTCAACAATGGGTGACATCAAGAATTGTAAGAGTGTCACAGAGATGCAAAGTAAGCCTCTGCCTAGCCTAAACCATATGAACATCCAGGCATTCCATTTCAGGGAAACAGGCCAGTTAAGCCAGTGGCAATTAATGCTTCAAACAAGTGGACAGGCACTGACAAAATTTAGGGACCTAACTGCTTGAAAACCACAGAAATATCAATAGGAAACGCATGACACTGTTACACGGAGGGAAAGAAAAAGGTAGAATATGTTATAAAAGTTTCCTTTTTAAAACAAAGGAAGCCTTGCACAAACGAGAAAAGAAATAAACAACAGATATCTCCCACCTCAAAAATGTAAGATTAAACTAAAGCAAACCATTAGACTCTGCTAGCCTCCCCCTCAAAAGAAATGAGTGAAGACAGAAATGGTGGGAAAGTAGAACTGCAGCACAGAAAAGCCCACCTGGACTACCCCCCCTGTCTCTTGGACATCGTTTCGTTCCTGTGTGCGCTGAGCCCTAAGGAGCCTGCAGGATCCAATTAGGACAGCTAGGGATAGTAACAACAGGTGGCATGTTTGTTTTCAGAAGCAGAGTACCCTTCACACCCAGTAAGACCTAACCTGGTCTCATATAAGTCTGCCTCAGGCCTTTCACTGCTCCAACTGCTGTTCTTTCCTGCTACACTCCTGCAGATTATTTTCTTAATATCTAAGAATCCAAAGTATTTTTATTTTATATATCAAATTTGTCACCGCCCATCTAGTTAAAAAACAACTCTGGGCAGTTTACAGAAAAGTTAAAATCAATTAAAAATATAATGTAAAATGGTCCTGAATAAACAGAAAATAAATGGTATGTTTATTTAATCTATTTATTTATTATTTATTTATTTACTTGTTTTATATAGCCGCCCGTCTCACTTTTATGTGACTCTAGGCGGCTTACAATAAAAGAAATAAAAATACAAAATACATAATATATAATATAAAACAAAAAATAAAAACACATCTAACCTTTCATGTATTTTGCTACTTCAATAGCATTAATAAGCTCATGGGAAGGATTTCCTCCTGAACATTAAAGCAGCTTCTTGCAATTTATCTGATTAAAGAAACTAGAGAGGAATAAATGGAGAGTCTCACAAAAGAAGTAAAGTAAGATCAGGACTTCTGGGGGGAGGATGGCCCAATTAATGGAGAAGACCACATTTTTCACAATGGTGAAAACCCAGGCAGACTGCAAAGAGCTCCACAAGGACTTCTTCAAACCATGGGAATCAAAGCAAGAAGTGAGAGACAATAAAAGCCAGGGTGAAACGATGTCAGGAGCAGAGGGGCTCCTAAATTCATAAAGATATGGACTAGACATTCTTTTAATGCTGTATTTATAACTGGAAAAGTTTTATTTTTTAAAATATATCTTGTCATACAGTGGGGCAAAAAAG